GAAGGAATTGTCTGAAGTCTACTAGTAATGTTTTAGTCGGCTTCGACTACAAAACTGTTACTGAAGAAGTGTAGTCTGTGAAGAGTTGAGGATTAGACAGCACTAAAGGGTAGAAGTGAAGCACAGGTAGGGAACGTATGAGGTCACACACTGTTCATTTTATAGAGCCTGAGTCAACCTACTTCTACTTGAGAACCAGCCAACATAAGCCTTACTAGGTCTCCTCTAACTTGTGTGATATAACCTACTTACTCCTCCTTGATCTGCTGGCTGAGCTGGCTTCCTTCTGGACTGCTAAACAAAATACAATTCAAGCTTTGAAATCAGTATCCCATCTCCAACTCAGACTGATACTAGACTGGTACTCCCTCCGTTCCAAAATAGATGACTCAACTTTGTACTACTAACTTTAAAAAAGTTAGTACAAAGTTGAGTCATCTATTTTGGAACGGAGGGAGTACTTGACAAGTAACCGACTCAGCCACCAGATCTCTGTTCATCCGCCAAATCAGCATGTCTTTGTCTCTGCACTCTTATAGTGCTTTCGCCAATAGGAGTCCGCACCACTTAACAAGCCTTTCCCACCTATAGTGGTCCAACCGACTAGGACCATTAAACAGTTTGCTGAAATGAAAACGAAACCACCTGATCCTGACATCCTGTTCATATTTAGTCATGTGAGAGTGGGCATTATGCAAGATTACTGATTAAGTTTACATATCAATTTACACTGTAGTTTTTTTTTGTTAAAACTGCACATTAAGGTGGAAACAGGGTCAGGTTCCATATGGCCATATGCTTGTGCCTGGTTTTATCTTTGATTTCTTTAGAACTTAAAAGCTACTTTTACTGGTCAGTAATGAATGGTCAAGTGACACATTTAGTGCATCACAATATACCGTTATTATTAATTTATCCCAAGCATCCTAATAACATGGTTGAACTGAATACTTACTGATGCAGAAGTATCAACAGAACAAATTGTTTTCTCATTGACTATTATTTTTTTATCTTAGCAAATATCTCTAATTCTTCAGTGGAGATCCCTGTCTGTTATGAAAGTGGATCTGAAACTATATGCATTGCTAACTACATGTATAAATATTAAAGAGAATCCAATTTTATATCTTATTTTTATTAGCATCAGAATGTAGACTAATTTGCATCCTTGTGTTGCAGGGCAAATGTTGCTCTTTCAGTGCTGATGACAGCAGCAAGCACTTTTGCTGCAGCGGTAATGACTCACTTACACCAATTACTATATTCCAGCGGAGCCAAATAACCTTTTTTTTCTTCTCATAATGCAGTTCATGACTCCTCTCTTGACATCAAAACTGGCCGGGCAATACGTCGCAGTAGACCCTATGGGACTGTTTGTGTCGACATCTCAGGTGCTGACAGTTTCTGTATAATAACTGTTCAAGTTCCTTTAGGTCTGGCTAAGGTTGATATTATCTGAATGCAGGTTGTCCTAGCGCCCGTTCTCTTGGGTGCTCTGCTTAATCAGTACATGGGCCGTTTGGTTGAGCTGGTTTCTCCCTTGATGCCGTTCATTGCTGTGGCAACAGTGGCTGTTCTATGCGGCAACGCGATTGCACAGAATGCTTCGGCCATCCTAGCATCTGGCCTACAAGTGGTGCTATCGGTTATCTGCCTGCATGGATGTGGCTTCTTCTTTGGCTATGTGCTTTCAAGGATGCTCGGCATCGATATCGCTTCATCACGAACAATCTCGATCGAGGTTGGCATGCAGGTAATTTTCTGCTGCGCGTTTTGTAAACAGGTTTTTACCATAGGGTGTGGCCCAGATACCCCACATTGCATTTATTTTATTATCAATGCAACCAAGGAAGCATGCAATCGATGCTTCACTCTTTCTCCTGTGCAGTTTCATTCTGTGTAGTAAGTAGTTATTATCTTTTCCTTGTAGAAGTTTCAGTGTTTGTATAATACTGATTTTGTTGTGGATGCAGAACTCGGTGCTGGGTGTGGTTCTCGCGGGCAAGCACTTTGGCAGCCCTCTCGCGGCGGTTCCGTGCGCGGTTTCGAGCATCTGCCACTCGGTCTATGGTAGCCTCATGGCCGGGGTGTGGAGGTCCATGCCCCCGAATGACAAGCAGGGGGCATGATGGGTCAGACAGATAGATACTTTAGTGGTTGCGGGGACTCGAGTTGTTGGGAACTATTTGTGCTTGCGAGAGAAATATTTGACCATGAAAACAAGTCAGGAGCGTGCCTGAGCCTTCTTCATTTCTCTGCCAGCTTTCACTTCCCAAACGGCCAAACACACACGCCCGCCGCGGAGTTACATTAGGAAAGATAGATGATCCACACGAGCGGGCTAAAATATGCGTTGCGACATTATTTTTTTCTTTTTGAAAAACTCCACCATGTATTAATTGACTTAAAACGTTCGTGCAATTCATTACAAAATTTGCCATAGAATTACAAAAATTCAATAGACCTATTATCAAAACAAAACATTGCAATCTCGTGAGCCACTATATTAGCCCTCCTTTTGATCTTGGATATCTGTAACTTCACCGGTAGCTTTGAGACTACCATGGCCTTGATCTTGGGAATCACCGTACCGACTGGAGAACGATTAACCGTCGGAGGGTTAACTCTCTGAATAATGGTTTTCGTTCCACATATGGCTCTCATGGGAAAGTTGGTCTGTCTGAAGGTGTTACGCTCAGTATATTTGGTAAGATAATAAATCAAGACATGTGAAGGAAAAAAGTTGAGTTGCCAAGGACCTTTTTTGTGCAACGTATCTAATCTAAAAGTAACAAAAAAAAACAGAAGAAAAAGTTGAATGTCTAAGCCCAGGTTCGAACTGGGGACCTTTAGTGTGTGAGACTAACGTGATAACCAACTACACCACCCAGACATCATGCTACTGAATGTCGAGCTCGCCTACATATCTGGTGCAAGCACTCGCACGATCTGTACAGGCAAATTTTGGCAAGGTGACCATGTTACAGGACATTTGCAAAAAAAAAAAGGACCATGGTATAGGAAATTGACTTCGGTGTCATTAGGTCGGTTGGCCTCACGAACGAGGATTATAATATGGAGTAGGGGTACTAACTATCTGGCCACAACTGAGGCATTCTCCCCGCCCCGGATACACCGCGGAGTAGGTGTGCACTGCCCCTGTACACTAGGGAAGATAGATAACTCGGGCGAACGAGTTATAATATGAGCCACCACATTCGACATACGATAAACATGACTAAAGCTCCTAGAAGAGAAACCGTATGCCATGGCATGGATGTTGGCAATCATCGTAAGAGTGGAGTGGAGAACGATCGACTGCAAAGCCCAAGAGTTAACTTTCTGAATAATTTACAAGCAATTTGAGAGAAAGATGGCCTTCTGAAATGGATAAGAATGTGAGAGGACCTTGTGGCAGAGCGCAAGCGAATGCCTCGGCTAGATCTGGCGTGGTAACCTCACTCATGCGCCCTTGGCAAGCCTGGATGTAACTTTTACTTTTAGTGTTATTCACACTGTCTTGACAGATGATGAATAAATTAGAAGTTTTTTTCTCGCAAAAAAACCTAGGATAGGTAAAAGGTAAGGTAAGGCGCCATGATCGATTTACTGGCCGATCGACAGTTAGACGTTCGAATCCTGGCGCCTGGCCCGACATCGACGCAAAGTAGGGAACCGGGCGCTTGAGTGTTTTTCTCTTCTGCAGTGTGAGATAAAGCGTCAAGGGCGGAGGCAGGTCTTTTTAGAGGCCATCGTTAGCATCTGCGGTTGGAGCAGGAGAAGCTAAGGTGTTTTTTCTTAATTCTACAACATTTATTGTAATCTTTTTGCGAGAAACTTTCAATTTATTTATCTTGAATCATGACAGTGCAAGAATAATAAAGATAATAAAAAGATACAACCATGTCCTTGGACCAACTAGCGACGACTACAAGTACTGCAGCGAGCCGAAGGCATGTCGAAGGCACGCTGCCGTCATCGCCCCTCCCTCACTGTAGCTGACAAACCTTGTCGTAGTAGATCGTCGTGCTAAGTCCTCATAGAACCAGCGCACCAGAGCAGCAATCATCGTTGATGAAGAAAATCGTAGATCAAAAGGATCAAAACTGTAAACACTCAAACGAAGATGAGCGAAGACCAGATGAAACAGATCCACCGAAGGCCAACATCAACCGAATCTCGTAAGATTTGATGGAGACACACCTTCACACGTCCTCCGACGATGCTAGACGCACCGTCGGTATGACAATAGAACGTGGAAGACATTATTTCTACCAAGGAACATCGCCGCCATCACACAACCTCAACCAAAGACGCGGAATCTAACAAGAACGGGAATTAGGTCCCTCTCGCAGGTGGGAGACCGAGATCCTCTGTGCCCCCGTGGCCCAAAGGCTATCGGAGATGGGGCGGACCGGTGGCTTGGCTAAGCGCGTGTAGAAGCGTCCCGTTGAAGAGTTCAAGGTTCAATTCCAGTGAGCCATATGAGTTTGGGTTTATTTTAGACTTTTCTCTCGGTACCGATTTATGATAGTAGTACCCCACCGTGAGGGGTTTAAACACACCATTGATCATGCAGTCCAACTGTTCAGACGGTCCTTGGATGCTGGCGCGCGTGCGTGAATTGGGACGGGAGAGGAAAGGAGTCGGGTGCAGTGGTTCAATGCACGGCAGGAACCGCGCGACGAGGAATCCAGAAGCAGACAGGAGGACCAAGTCATCTCCCTCCCGGTGGGCCCATCGAAGCTCATTCCTTTCCCCCGGTCCAATTCGGCAGCCGGCGACCCCTCCCTCTCCCGAAGATTCCTCCCACTAACACTATTCACGAATTTATTTATTTATTTACATTCATACACCCCGGTGAATGGCGACCGCCCGGCCCCAGATGCCGCCCCCGCCGGCTCGCCTTTACATGCTATGCCGTGAACCCGCAGCGATCCGTCGCCCCTTCGTCTCCCGCACGACACAGAGCTAGCCACTAGGCAGGCGGGCGGGCGGCCATGAGCGCAAAGGACAACCATAAGCAGCAGCAGCAGCGTGCCGTGGCGCGGATGGTGGCGGCGGCCATGTCGACTCCGTGCTCCATCAAGCCCCTGCTCGTCGCCATCCCCCTCGCCCTCGGCTTCGCGCTCGGCATCGTGGCGACCCTGTCCCTGATGGGCTCCACGGCGTCGTCGGCTCTACCAGGTGCCGCCCTCGAGCTCTTCTTCCCGTCGCCCCCCGTCAACGTGTCCACCGAGGTGCGCCGCCGGCAGCCACCGCGGCCGGCGCAAGTGCACCCACAGGCGGCACCGGCCGTCTCGCCGCCGGTGGCTCATGCAGGCATTAGAAGGCATGCGGGTCCGCCGCCAGTACAACGACGACAGGCGGCACCAGCAACCGGTGTCTCGTCTCCGCCGTCGCCGCCGGTGGTTGATGCCGGCAGTGCCAACAAGCGTGCGGCTATGCCTGTGAATGTGACCACTACTAATGAGGGTGGCGAGCGGGCGGTGGTCGACGACGACGACCGGCTGATGGCGCTGGCGGCGGCGGCGCCGAGGACGGTGCGCGCGGCGGCGGGGTGCGCGCCCAAGGTGGCGTTCCTGTTCCTGGCCAAGTGGGACCTGCCGATGGCGCCGCTGTGGGAGCGCTTCTTCGAGGGCCACCGCGGGCTATACTCCGTCTACGTCCACACCGGCCCGGCCTTCAACGCCTCCGCCGCCGCCGCCCCGGACAGCAGCTCCGCCTTCCACCGCCGACACATTCCCAGCAAGGTACGTTACGCATTGTATTAATTGCTTGCTTGTGCATACGTGCACACAATCATGACGATCACACGCCCACTGGATGGCATTTGGCATAGCTAGCTAGCTTATTTTCCAAAGCATTGACGCGACTCTCACATGGCGGGCTTTCAAAAAGCATATGCATGCATGCATGCACAGCTTGACCTTTCAATCGGCAGTCCTGATTTCACACGGAAAGTGGAGCGAGACGTTCGATCGATCGAGTGTCGTCGTTTTCCTTGGAGAAGGATAGGAAAAATGGAAAATCCATCTGAGGCAGCTAGTAGGTGTCAGGGGGCCATGGTTAACTTAAACTGGTCGTACTAGTACTAGTACCACTGTGGATGCTCCGTCCTGTCTTGGCTCCATCGACGCCATCACATGGGAGGCTCGGAGTCCCACACGCGGCGCGGGATCGCGCGGTTCATCCGAAGAAACTGGAAAACAACCAAGAAACTGGAAAACGACGTTTTTTTTTTTAGATCAGAAAACGACGCTTTGGTTTCTGTCCACTCTATGATTTCAAGTTACACGCTGCTTGCCTCCTTGACCTTTTTTTTTCTACTAGAAAACCGGGGTTTTTTTTTTCTATTTTTTTTGAGGGAAAGTTTTTTTTCTACTTGAGGATGGAAAATGCACCTCTTTTTTTTTTGACATTATATCACGTTAATTTTTTTTGACGAAATCACCGTGAGCGCCTCGCTTTCTTGTATCTTCCTGGATTTGCATACACCACGGTCGTGATGGTTAATATTCATTTTACTACCCAAGCTAAAACTGTGTCTGCCGCTTTGCATAATTATCTCGTTAGCTCCCAAAACGCCTCCACCATGCCCCATCACGTGCACGATGGACGCGCCTCGGGCGCTTCGTCGGCGGACCTCGATCACCTAGCTAGCCAACAACAACAACAACGACACGTAAAGCACCACGCAGCTGCCTCATGGCACTCACGTGGGCCGGCCTTCCTCGCCATCAACCTCTCCGACAACCCCACAGTTGCACAGACAGAGCCACTTGGACGGAGGGACGGACATTTCTAATACTCCTAGTATATCTTTCGACAAGTTTCTTTCGCTTGTTCTCTGATGAGAACAATTTTTCTTACGTTTTCAATGTGCACATGTCGCAATGCTACATTGGTTCCACAGTGGCCCATGCAGTACGACTCGATCATTTATGTAAACGAAGCCAACATTTTAGGGAAGTGAGTGGTCGTTGTCCCGGTGCTCTCCATGGAAGTCGAAGCCATACCTTTCTTGCATGGCATGCCTCGTGATCATCGATCAACCCTCCCTATTGCCAACCTCCCCCACCCTCACCCCACTCGGCATGCATCTCCACCACACAGCGCACCGGCTTCCTCACGGCAGTTCACGCTGGCCTTCCGAGTTGTCATCAGGCAAGAGCTCATCAAAGGTGAAACTGGAAGGCGATTGGTCGATCGACAATCTATTTTTTTTGCGGGGAATTAAGGAGCTTTTTATTCATACGATGATCCACCGGCCACATCGGCCATAAGGCTGGTGACCAGGAACCCGGGGGGAGTCCATCCAACACTCTGTCACCTCCAATGTGCATGTAAGTTTTGCACAAAGGTGGGCAGGGACATTGGCATGTCTCCTTACATGAAGAATGTCAAGATAAGTAAACTGAGCAACAAGCTCCTCAATATCTAAAAATAACGGCGCTATTACAGAGCGCGAATTCCGGCGCGATTTCCAAAGGTTGACCACTTTTAAACAATTTGTTTTAATTTCAACCCGCGTAAAACCACGAAGCATTACCACCACCACACCCTCACGCACCGCAGTTGCCTTTGATCGATCGACAATCTAGCTATGTGTGACATACAAACCAGCGCGCGCTATTGCACGCACACACGATAGATTGCGGCCGACGCATGCACGAATCACAATCACAGCGCCAATAGTGAGGCTGCACACATGAGGCAATTGTTTTTTCTTTTCTTAGCTGATGCTATCGTTTGCAGCTAGGTCGTGCGCAAAAGTGTCGTGTGTGAAGCAATTTCGCATACAAAACTTGTAGTTAACATGCAAACCTAGACGCATAGCATGGATCTCGAGAGGAAACATCTTGGGCACTTTACGTATGGGGACAGTGACCATGCATACGTACTACCCTTTTTCGAGTAAATCTTTCCTGAAAGAAAAGAATATCTTGTGCACTTTGCGTATGCATGCATGTCTTGGGCCTTGAGGATCGTCCTAATTAATTACTCTCATCCCCTGTCGCTCACGTATGCATGTGTACACGGCACACGGGGCCTAGAGAATCACCTGAATTTTGTACGATAAATGTTCAAAGGGGTTACAACATAGAACTATGTTGGACCTATACACCGTCCACACTATGAAAAAATTACTTTGTTTTTCACGTGAATGTGCCAGTAAAATCTTTTTAAAATATTACTACAAATATTTTGGTATTGATCTCACATGTTGAAACATGGCAACAAAGTTTGATTGCGTGTATTCTCAGACATCATATAGTAGATACAAATGGTATTTTTTAAAAAGAGCTTCCTCTTCTATTTCTTTTAACTGAAACCACTGCCTTTTTTGTGTGTGACTAACCTGAAACCAATGCCCCCTCCCCCCCGCAAAAAAAGTACATTGCCACACAAAAAACTGTTTGCGTACAGAACCAGAAAAATAGAACCACTAAATTAGCTAAAAATTACAAGAGTCATACATCATACCTTTAAAAAAAGAGTCACACATCATTGAGTGTATGAAGTTATTTTGACTACAGATCATCATCGTATCATGATATATTGTTAAAGAGAGCTTATAGTATTTATAATCATACAATTTCATTAAACATGCTGCCATTGTTACACAAACAGGAGGTAAAATGGGGCCACATAAGCATGGTGGAAGCCGAACGACGTCTCTTGGCGCACGCACTGTTGGACCACTCCAACGCCCGCTTCATCCTCCTATCAGAGTCACACGTCCCACTCTTCGACTTCCCCACCGTCTACTCCTACCTCATCAACTCCACCAAGGTGTACATGGAGTCCTATGATGAGCTGGGCGGGACGGGCCGGGGCCGATACAAGCGTGGCATGGCACCCACTATCATCCCTTGGCAGTGGCGCAAGGGCTCACAGTGGTTCGAGATGGACCGTGCCCTTGCCGTCGACGTCGTTGCTGACGACGTCTACTTCCCGGTCTTCAAAAAGTTTTGCAAGCGCAATTGCTACGCCGACGAGCACTACCTTCCGACGTTCCTCCACATCCGGCACCCTGAGGCGGCCGCCGGACGAACCGTGACGTGGGTTGACTGGTCCCATGGCGGCCCCCACCCGTCGAGGTTCACGAGGATGGAGGTCACGATGGATTTCCTGCAGTGGCTTAGGGGCGGGACGACATGTGAGTACAATGGGAGGACCACCACCGTCTGCTTCTTGTTCGCGAGGAAGTTCCTGCCCAACTCGCTCACCCGCTTCTTGAGATTCGCACCGAAGGTGATGGGCTTTGGCTGAAGGATCGATGCATATACGGGATTAGACAAAGAACAATTCAACTTTTAAATTCTTAGTAGGATACATTATCACACAATTCTTTGACTAATGTTCACGTTTCTGTAAAGCAGCTCTCTATACTATGTATACTTAAGGATATACATTCATTTTCTCTAATCCGTCCTTTTAGAATTCATTTTGTAATAGCCAATGTACATAACCGTCTCCATGAATTTGGGCCCTCGGGCAAAATGTAAAGTGGGCTCTGAAATTTGAAAAAATTCATATGACTATAAATCATACCCTCTTAATAACATAACTTCAAAATGTGTTACTTCATACAATATTTAGCAATATATCAAATATTCATGCTAAATTAGTAAAGGTCAGTACTAAACCAATAAATTGACCTCCTGTTTTACCGGAAAACACAATCCGTCTAGTATTTCTGGAAATGAAATCTTCAATTATAAGTTTATAACTCTGTAATTAATCTTCTCCCACACATCATTTTCACGTGCTATTGTCACCAATCCATTGAGTATTTCTTATAGGTGATTTGTCCCACATACAAACGCGAGACTCAATTGAACAACATATAAATCGTAGTTTTGAAAACATCAAAGGTGTGTCTGCGCTAATAACATGACAGTATTTTTCTCTCGAAATCTTGAGCTTACGCACCTCTGTCCAGTTCGAGGTCTTGGCATGTTTCTTGTGGAGCTATGTTCAGTGTATATTTGCGATTTCAGCAAGAACTAGCAAGAGATCCACTTAAAGGAAAATCTGTTTTGCTTGATGGCCCACTTCCAAAGAAAAGTCAGGCTGGTCATTGACGACTTCGTCAGGTCTCATGACCTGACAAAGTAGTGAATCTTTGTACTTCTGGTGTGATTAATACTCCCTTCGTCCCAAAATAAGTCACTCAACTTTGTACTAACTTTAATACAAAGTTAGTAGAAAGTTGAGTCACTTATTTTCGGACGGAGGGAGTACATTCCAGTCAAAAAAAACAAGACAGTGTTTTTCATTATCTAACAAGAATTACATAATGCAATTTCGTAACAAAACCGACACAAAACCGAAATTGGCAGAGGGTGGACGACAACTAAAACTAACATGAAACAAAAGTTATGGTTCCTTTTGCTGCTCTATCTACAGATTGCTAGGAAGCACCCAGAATGCTCTATCTGACACCGCCGGAGCTTCATCAAGTTTCTGCAACTCTGTGCTTCCATCCTTCACGTTAAAGACCTGCAATGTTTTCCGGTGACGGTCCGGGAAGTAGACGCAATCCTGTCGCAAACCACACCTGCCGTCGCCGGAGAACGAGGCACCAAATTCATAGATGGACAGGAGGAACGTGCAGCCGCCGAGGTCGTCCACTGCGCACCATTGTCGCTTCGAGAAATCCATCCTGTGCACGGTGGCGCCATGGTACGGCTCCGAGGCATTGACGCCCAACAGGCGTACCATATAGAGCTGGTCGCGAGATTCCACCAAGAAAACTTTCGCGTGACACTCACCAATGGTATCCTCGACGGCGATCGAGCCGAATACCGGAGCAGCAAGGCCGCCGCAGAAGTCGATCACGTCGAGACTGGTCGTGTTGCTGTTGAAGTAGAACTTGCCCCGGCACGCCGTGATCGGGCATATCACCACCTTCTCCTCCGGCGGATCCCAGTCCGGAAGAGCCATGGTTCCTATGTCATACTCATACTTCTCCCACTGGCTATCCCCGACGTGACAGAACCATATGAGGGGGGCGTCGGGCTGGGCCAGGAGCACGACGCAGCCGGGAGCCGTGGGCTTGTCGGAGAGCAGGCAGTTGCACTGGATTAGCAGGTCGTCGTCGACGTCGAGTCCCAGGGGCGGGAGCTCGATCTTGAGGCGGGTCTGGGAGCTCCAGAGGAAAGTGGACAGGGAGATGGGGTCCCGGGCCAGCATGAAGCCACGGGCAGTCGGGCAGATGATCATGTTCTCCAGCGCGCCGATGTCGCCGCCGGCGACCATGGGCTTCTTGTCCGACAAGCTGAAGAGCAATCCACGCTGTGGAAGGCGAGGCACGGCAGCGGCATCGGACTGATCGTCGACATCGGCGCGATTCAAAGATGTGTATCGCCCGGTGGGTTAAATAGATCGAGTTTGGAAAATCCCGTACGTGAGAGAGAGGAGGCTGGATACGAATCATGATCGAGATGGAAATAGGAATTCAAGTCGGTCACGCCAATCTCCCTAGCCTCCCAAGCGTGATGATGTGTTTCAGCCGGTACACAATGCATGGCCGGGTCAATTTTGGCCCATGGGCCTAAGCAGGAGCAAGCACACCGTGGACTAAACCACAATAAACGGGCCAATGGCCCACTTCAGCGCTCTCTCTCTCTCTCTCTCTCTCTCGGGAAACTCTTGCTTTCAACCGGCTGATCTCTCTCTCTCCCACAAATCGTTTCCTACGTTTGACACGTGCCACCTAACGACCGAGACGGCACCCCGTTTGCCTTGCTATTGCGGTGGTGGAGGCGGCGAGGCAAGGACACGGTGATGCCAGTTGACGGTCGCTGGCGCGGAGACGCCAGCCGTGGATGCGGAGACTCAGGGCAGGACGCCGGCCATGGGTACAGGAACTCGGAGAGGATGGTGCGGAAGCAGGGGATAGCCGAGGAAGGTGATGTGCAAGGGGAGGATAAGGGATATTTTCGTCAAGAGTGGGGCAAAGAAGCAAACACGCACTACGATTTGGAATTTTGCCAAAAAATTATGCGCATTACATTTCGGAATGGAGGGAATATTACAGTTTCAACCAAAGAACTAACAATAATCTATTACAATTACCATTTCATGGTGTGATGCGATCATGTTAGGCATTGTTGCTTCTTAACATTATTGCACTGTGGTTCCAGGTGTTTGAGATCAATGGATCCCTTTATGTTATTCAAGTAAAAGGGGTCATCTGGAGATTGGTCCCTATACAGATGAGGTTGTTGTGCATCTTCCCTTGTTGAGTCTTTCAAATTAAAATTTTAACATCCCTTTCTTTTCACTCAGAATAGTGAATATATAATATATAATGTATGACATTCTTGCTGCAGGCGTGTCCTGTGTTAAATGATCTTACACTATTTGGGAATATGCAAGAGCGAGCAAGTTTACATGACACCAAACTATTCTAAGAAAAGTCACAAAAAATGGAGAAAAAGAGCAAGCTTAGCAAGAAGAGGCGGTGAGAGGAGACACGTGAGAATGAGAGGAGGAACAAGAGGTTCAAAGCATATAACCATGTTAGAGCTGATGGTAGCAGAGGACGACATAGAGGGGGATTTGTCTCCGTACTATAATTCAATCAAACCATGGTACAAGCATGAGATTTTTTTTCCAGCATGGAAAGCATTAGATATGAGCTCACTTCAATTACTTTTATAATTTGTTCATGCACAAACACTTCCCTTACGAATAGTTTTTTCGTTCGATAACAATGCACATGTAGCTTCAGTGCCTACATATTTTTTCGGTATTCCATGGCAACGTACGGGCATTATAGTAATGGATATAGAATGCAAATCTTCATTTCCTGTTATGTTAGGAAGACCATTCTTAATAACGATTGGTGCTATAATTGACATGAAATAAGGAAATATTGAGTTACAATTCCCAATGAGGAAAGGGGTAGGATTTTCCAATGAGAGAATCAAATTACCTTATGAAACTATTATGAAAGCCACTTACTCCTTGATTGTTTTAGACGAGAAAACTTAAAACTATCCTAAAACCATTCTGCCTAGCTAAAAGGCATTAAATAAAAGCGCTTATGGGAAGCAACACATATTTAGTGAATGGTTATAAAGTCGTAATCATTTAGAAGTCTTTTTTAGTACAAATTTAGCTATGCATATTTTGTGCAACACAGATACCATATTATTTGACTAACTGAGTCCTACACCTTCTTTTTTGAGTTGGAAGGAGTATTATTTTTGCCAAGAAGGCGACACCCATTTTTTCAGCCATGTAGAGATTCCAACATCCAACATAGTAGAAATAGTAGAACACAACAAACATACCTCTAAAAGAAGAGCTGTAACTCATGACATTCTGCAGTGTTTAGTGTTGGCAAATCATGGCTACAACCGTACTACTTAGAAACCCGGAATCGGAGCTTCAACATCCTTTCTATGTGTAGTTAACCTAAAATATATCGGTACCTAATATGCTTTATCGGACACCGGAGCTCCACCATGTCTTCCATGCTTTACATTGAAGACATG